AGGAGGAGGGAGAAGGGGACCAAGGAGGAGAGTGGTGGGGTACTTACCTGGCTATGGCAGACACCATCTTCATTACCTTGTTAGGCGCTGCATCTGGAAGGCCCCAGTGGGGGTAGTGCCGCATCAAGGAAGCTCGGGGTAGAGTCAGGCATGGCGGTTGAGTGGGGCAGTGGCATAGCTGCATGGTGTTGACCTTGGGACAGAAGGGCAGCGTCATAGCTGCTTTGGGTTGTCCTTTGGACAGGAGGGTACTCCGCCATCGCCTCGGCCTGTATGTAGAGGAAGAGGAAGGGTGGCCATGGCTATGGTGGACCTCATGTTGTGCCTGCATTAGAAGTGGGATTCAGACATTGATTCTGGTTCAGTCATTCAACATTATTATTGTTATTTCTTGTCTGAATAAGAGGGGAGGAGATAAGGAGGAAGAGATTGGTTGGCGATGAAGACGAGCCTTGTCATTGGTCTATGCTGGAGTACATCATCTTCTTTTTCTTTCTTACTTCTTCTTCTTCTTCTTTCCCTCTCTCTCCTCTCAAGTTCATTCATTTCTTTTTGCAATTGGANCCGCATCAAGGAAGCTCGGGGTAGAGTCAGGCATGGCGGTTGAGTGGGGCAGTGGCATAGCTGCATGGTGTTGACCTTGGGACAGAAGGGCAGCGTCATAGCTGCTTTGGGTTGTCCTTTGGACAGGAGGGTACTCCGCCATCGCCTCGGCCTGTATGTAGAGGAAGAGGAAGGGTGGCCATGGCTATGGTGGACCTCATGTTGTGCCTGCATTAGAAGTGGGATTCAGACATTGATTCTGGTTCAGTCATTCAACATTATTATTGTTATTTCTTGTCTGAATAAGAGGGGAGGAGATAAGGAGGAAGAGATTGGTTGGCGATGAAGACGAGCCTTGTCATTGGTCTATGCTGGAGTACATCATCTTCTTTTTCTTTCTTACTTCTTCTTCTTCTTCTTTCCCTCTCTCTCCTCTCAAGTTCATTCATTTCTTTTTGCAATTGGATGGCATTGTACTTTCAGATGAATGTGTACTTCGAAATTGGCCAGGATCGTAACATTGGTATCAGAGCGGATTCTACTTGTTGGCGAGAGTTGACTTTGCTGCCATAACCCTAACCCTAGTGGTAAGGGCTAACCACTTAGGGTTGAGTGGGGCAGCGTGGTAAAGGGAAGCTGCCCCCACCTAGCAGGGCCGTGTAAGGTCGACACTAGACCCGGCCAGGTTGCTTGAGTGCTTGTTTGTGGTGGCGAGACACAAGGTGGGACTTCATGATGCAACTTGAGAGAGGCAACAGTGAAGGGCACCTACAACTTGAATCTGGACTTCAAGGAAGACGAGGAGTGACTTTAGGGCTCCCCTCAAGTTAGGCGAGCTTGAGGGTGGCAGCCATATCTGCACCTACAGACTGCAAGTTGCTGCTTTGATCTTCAACATCGACGGGGGATCCGGCTTTGTACTTTGGGGTAGATGTTGACCCTCCTAGATGATAGGACACTAGGGTAGAGGATGCTAATTGGGTCAGGAGGACTATGTGAGAGGGGGGTGAGTTCTTTCATCTCAAGAGCCCGGCCACTCAGGTAAGTGTCGTGCCGCCAGGGTGCCCATGTGTGTGTGCATGGAATTGATTGCCTGTTGGGGTTTTCTGGGTTCTTCTTCCATCCTCCATAGTCTTGATTGTGTGTGAGGTGTGTGAACTGCTTTCTCACCTGACGAGTGAATGAATGGAGTATTTTGCTTGCCATGCTATATCTCTCTACAGTGGTTTGTTTATTTCATTCTGAACGGCTGTAGTCTGTAGGTTCTTTCTGGGGCAAAATTTCGTTTTTCAAATCGGTAGGGACAGAGTAGGCCTTTGTGGAACTCTTGTTGGTTGGGACCCGGTTCTGACTCCACCGGTACCATTTGGGACTCATTGAGACCAGGCCCAAACAAGAAGGGCCCCTCAGGCCAAATCTGTTGACGTCAGTTATCTTGCTCTATCTGATTGGGACTCAGACTTTATGCTTTCGGACCAGGACACTCGCTGCGGAGGGGATCTCCGTTGAGACGTTTTATCAGACTTTACCGCACAATCCGCCGTCTGACTCGCACCTTGAGCACCACTCAATTCTTTCTTGCATTACATAGTACACTTTGAATCTGATTTGCTGTGTCTTCACGGAGCTGAGTCCGACTAGGCTTGAGAGGACCTCATACGTAGTCGGTCCAGACTGTGTGGCTGGATCAGATCTCTCTNATCTTGTGTGCCATGCTATATCTTTCTGCAGTGCTTTATCTAATTCATTCTGAACGGTTGTAGTCTGTAGGTTCTTTTTGGGGCAAAATTTTGTTTTTCAATTCGGTAGGGACAGAGTAGGTCTTTGTGGAACTCTTGTTGGTTGGGACCCGGTTCTGACTCCACTGGGACCGTTTGGGACTCAGTGGGACCAGGCCCAAACAAGAAGGGCCCCTCAGGCCAAATCTGTTGATGTCAGTTACCTTGCTCTATCTGATTGGGACTCAGACTTTATGCTTTCGGACCAGGACACTCGCTACGGGAGGGGATCTCCACTGAGACGTTTTATCGGACTTTACCGCACGATCCGCCGTCTGACTCACACCTTGAGCACCACTCAATTCTTTCTTGCATTACGTAGTACACTTTGAATCTGATTTGTTGTGTCTTCACGGAGATGAGTTCGACTAGGCTTGAGAGGACCTCATACGTAATCGGTCCAGACTGTGTGGCTGGATCAGATCTCTCTGATCTTTATTTCTTTTGTTGTTTTGATTGCTCTCCAGTCCAAATGAATTGCCGCTCTGGCTAGGAGTTCTACCTTGTCTTCTGATTGATTTCAAGCTGTTTCTTTCATTGGGTTCGTTAAATGCCCGCGTCTACACGATCGCAAACGAGAAGAGAGAGAGAGAGAAGCGGGAAGCTTCTGAGTGTTGCTCTTGAGGTAGTGAGGAGAGGGAAGAGGAGTGTTCGTCCCAGAAGTGTGAGGAAGTACGGACCCCTCTTGAGAGACTTATTGACACCCTCATCCTCCATCATGGCATCTGCAGCAAAATGGAAGCTGCAAATGGGCGCTGCCCCTGAGGCAGAAAAAGCGCAGTACCTATTCTTCTATGAGAAAGCATTGAAGAGGGAAGAGGAGGAGAAGGAAAAGGAGAGGGAAGACAAAGTAAAGGTTCATGAAGCCGTCTTCAGTACCGTGCCCGCCTTAACTGATGATGAGGTGGAAGAGAAGACTATCCCACTTCTCAGGGCCTTAGTAGAAGTCTGGGCTGTTGAAGATCATACTGACCAACTCGCAAAGGTGTTTGACGAACTAAAGAAGTTGCGCGAGGATAAGGCCCGGATGGCGCAGCAGCACCGTGACCAGCTGCAACAATTTGCTAACTTGCAGCCAACCCAAAATGTCCTTCCTCCTGCTTACCCCGCTTCTAGTGTTGCGTGTCAGTCCGTTCTTGCCCCTCTAACCATGCCTTCTTCTTCTTCTTCTTCTTCTTCTTCTTCTTCTTCTTCTTCTTCTTTGAGTGTGGTCAACAGCCTAACCGGATCTGCTGCAGGTCCAGACCCCGCTGTTGTTGCTGCTGCTGCTGCAGCGGCAAGTGGCAGTGCAGGGCATTGTGGAACTGCTGCAGCCCCGAATTTGGACCCAGCAACCGCTGGTCCAAGCTGCAGCTTTCCTTACATGGATAGAAAGGCGGCGCATATTCCGTCTAAGTATGACGGAAAGGACGACATCGAATCTTGGATCAGCTCCATGCGATCCTACTTTGATGTGCTGGGAACACTCCCAGTTACTCAGTCGTCGGTCCTAGGGACCAATGTGGAACCCGTCGTAAGTGGATTCTTGGAAATAAAAGTTGTACAAGCAGGCTATAAAAGAATAGACCTGAACAAATGGCTGAAGTCTACGCCGGTAGCCACACTCGAAGAGCTCTTGATCAAGCAATATGCTGATCCACATGCTGCAGCCAAAGCTAGACTTAAACCACCTTTTTACAGACCCCTACTGTTCACCAAAACGCAGTACACTGCGATTGGAGCTAGATGAACAGTGATCCGACATGGCACAGGTTCGGAAGAAAAAGGCTGGTGGACCTAAAAAGAATGGATTGAAAGCGCAATTGGAAAAAATAAAAATAAAAAAAAAAGAGAAAACATTGGGCAGTCTTGGCAGACGTCCTGCCTTGCTAGCAGGACAATAATCTTATAAAGAAACAAAACCTAAAAAAAAGAAAGGAAAACAAAGATAGATTTGGACGTCATATGCATCCGATACACTATCGACAGTAGTACTGTGAGTATGCCTTGAGTGAGGGCATTCCCAAGAGTGTAAATAGGGAAAAGAAATAAAAAAGGAATGAAAGATATGGCCATGATAGCGGTCAGATACAGTCTTGACAGTACTAGTGTGAGTATCCCCTCAGTGAGGGCCTGTCCTGAGGTGGTGGAAAACGCCCTGCCTCTGGCAAAGCAATACAAGAAAGAGGGAGGAGGAGGGGGGGGGAAGGGGAAGATAATGATTTGGCCGTGATAGTGGTCAGATACATAATAGACAGTACCCCTTTGAGTATGCCCTAGGCCAGATGGCTTCCCCATATCCCTTTTCTGTTTCTTTCATGGAAGGGCAATGACCTTTGTTCATCACTGATCTGGATTTAGTTTTTTTTTTTTTTTGCTTGTCTTTTTGCTGCCATCTGCTGGCACGAGGTACAACACTTGAGGTTCAAGGTAGGCTGATACCCGTACCCCGATATTTTTCTTTTCAGCCTGTTACTGTTGCAGTCAGGCTCAGAAACGTAGAACTTTTGGTTTGTCAATTTAGCTTCGTGTGAACTGGTGGTTAAGCTTGACAAGCTCAAGCACAGCAAGCGGACCGGCACCATGCATAGTCTGCAACAGTATGTTAGTAAACTTTTTGCTAGTCCTGATCTGGAAATGACTGCGCAGTCTTGTTTAGATGTGATTAAAGGTACGGTCCCCTCTACTATAACACATCGCCTGGGGCTCAGACTCATAATGTATACAGATTGGCTTACCCTCATGCGGGATTTAGTCAAGCTGGAGGCACAAGACCTCCCAGGTGGATCGGGTGGCAAGAAGACCACCAGCCGCAAACGATTTCCAGGCAGCAACCGTTTTGCAGCGCACGATCTACTTGAGGATGACGAGGAAACCTTCGCAGAGGATCCTTCTCCTGATGACGATCAAGAGCAAGGCTGCGAGGCATCTTGCTCTTTGTCAGCCCATGAGTTTGAGTATGTGAATCATGATGAATCTATGAATGCCTTCAAGAAGACTGCCTTCAAAAGTAAGGGACCGAGGACCACAATAAAGAACAATACTAACACCATTCTCCTTCCCAAGGGTGCGAAGATTCCACCCAAACCGAAAGATCCTGCCACAAAACCATGGGTAGATCTCCGGATCAGTGAAAGTGAGTGGAAACACAAGGTGAAGAAAGGGGTTTGCATGCATTGCACCAAACCGGGACATTCAGTCCAACATTGCTTCAGATTGCAGCAGGGAAACCAGCAACGGGGGTAGAGACATCATTAGCACACTCTACAGACAGAGAGGCTGAACATGTAAGTGCATATCCTTCACTGGATTCTGATCCCACTCAGCAAACCTCTCTTGAAACCCCATCTGATGTTGATTCCAAGGCTGAGAAATTGCACATCCTCTATAAGGAGCCTTGGGTGGAGTCAGAAGAAATTGACTTCCATGCTCTGTTGGGACGCTGGGCTCATATGAAGCAAGAACGCGCGAAAGGGAGAACAAAGTTGATCTTCTTCAAATTCTACATTAATGGTTGTTACATCCGTGTGTTGTCTGATTGTGGCACAACCGCTAACTACTTCTCACCGCACGACATTCGTAAGGCACGCTTAGGGATGAAGCAAGTGACCTTGCAGAATCCTTGCCGGACCCAAGTGGGCAACCAAGAGGTTGTCACCTCTACGCATGCAGTCAAAGGTATGCACACCACCTTTGACGCAAACCGCACAATCACACATGAACTGAACTTCTATGTCCTTGATCAGTGCCCCTTCGACGCGGTTATTGGCTTGGGCTGGGTGCAAACCCAATGTGAAAGAACCACGTGGAAGGACTCACAGTTCATGGTCAAAGATGCCATGGGAATCGAGCGTCCAATCCTCTTGGATGAGCCGTGCGAGTCCCAAGTAACTTTTCTCAATGCAATGTAATTCTGCAAAAAGTGGTGCAGGCGCAAAGTTGAAGAGAAAATGTATATAACCTTTGTTAGGCCTGCTCATGTGCCTTCTATTTTTGCTGTACATAATGATTCCACTTTGCATGGCGTTTCTACTTCTGAGGCAACTACTTCTACCTCTACTAAGTCTACTTCTAGTCCAAACGACTCTGCTTCAAATCCTGTTGTTTTGGCTGCACTGATGCAATCCGGGATGCTTGCACCTGAATGTGATGATCCACCTCCAGAGATCCCATTAGAAATTCACAACCTTCTCAGCCGATTTCCTGAAGTCTTGGTCGAACCGCATGGAGTTCGCGTGCGTCCGGTCCGACACAAGATCGAGTTGATAGAAGGTAACACCCCTCCAAAGGGTTGACACCCCTCCAAAGGGTTGTGTCTATCGAATGGGCTCAGGCGAATTGGAAGAGTTGTGTAGACAGATTGATGACATCATTGGGAAAGGATGGATCAAGCCAAGCGAATCCAAGTTCGGTGCACCGGTTCTGTTTGTCCCAAAAAAAGGAGGCAAAATTACGAATGTGTATTGACTACCGCGGACTGAATAGAATAACAAGAAATAATGCATATCCTTTGCCGCGTATTGATGATCTGCTTAATGCTGCAGGTGGGTGCAAGGTCTTCAGCAAGATCGATCTCAAGTCTGGCTACCACCAGATTGAAGTTGATCCTGCAGACCAGCATAAAACTGCATTCAAAACTCGGAATGGGCTGTACGAGTTTACCGTTATGCCCTTCGGCCTCACGAATGCACCAACCACCTTTCAAAGTCTCATGGAGAAAGTGTTCCGCAATCGGATCAACCGATTTGTTGTTGTGCATTTGGATGACATACTAATCTTCAACAAGTCGATGGAGGAGCACATGAGACACCTTGAGGAAGTGTTGCAGATCCTCAAGGATCCACAACTCCATCTCAACTTGGAGAAATCTGAGTTTGGGAGGGAGAACGTCATCTACCTTGGACATCGGTTGTCTATTGCAGGCCTAGAGCCCGAAGCAACCAAAGTTGAGGTCATCCGCAATTGGCCTCAACCGGCCAATGTCCGTGAGTTGCGTTCTTTTCTTGGTCTTGCGTCATACTACCATAAGTTTGTACCCAAATTCTCTATCATCGCCCGTCCGCTGTCCAAGTTGACAAGTAAGAATGTATCTTACACATGGGATGGGGAATGCACAACAACCTTCCAAGCGTTGAAGGAGGCTTTGGTGAGTCATCCGGTGCTCTGCATTGCAGATCCCAAACTTACATTTGTAGTAACTACGGATGCAAGCTTGTATGGGATTGGTGTAGTGCTGCAGCAAGATGACGACGATGGCTTACGTCCGCTTGAATATTACAGCAAATGCATGCCCAGTCACAAGGTAGCTGCCTCCACTTACATGAGAACTCTACGCCTTGAGAGAGGCACTAGATCATTGGAAACACTACCTCTTGGGTCGTCATTTCAAAGTGTTCTCAGATCACGAGACTTTGGAATGGATTCAGACACAGATTAATAAATCAACCACATTGACCCGCTGGCTGCATGAGATTGATGTGTATGATTTTGAGCTTAAGCACAAGAAAGGTTGTTACAATCGCGTTGCGGATGCTTTGTCTCACCATCCTGAGTACATGACTTGCCTTGTGGGTTCCTATGATATCCGAAAGAATTTGAAGGAGGAACTCATTGAGCACACTGCCAAGGAGCCGGAACTCAGTCCCATCCTTGAGCAGATTCGGGCTGACTCTAGCAGTCAGCCTGATTTCCATGAATGTAAGGGCTTACTTTTCCGACGTTACGGGAAGCACGACCGACTGTGTGTACCCAACCATGAGCCGATCCTTACTCACTTTTTGGACTTGGGTCATGGTCGGAGTGGACACTTCGGTTTTGAGAAAACATACGGAAGTCTGCTGCAAAAGTTTGTATGGCCTGGAATGAAAGGAATGACACAAAAGTTTGTGGCTGAGTGTGAAGTCTGTCAACGCATCAAGCCGTCTCGGCAAAAGCTCTATGGGCTGCTGCATCCTCTTCCTATTCCTGATGGTCCAGGTGAGTTGCTTTCCATTGACTTCACAAACATGGGAAAGAAGAGTAAGAATGGATATTCACAAGTAATGGTGATCGTTGACCGCTTCTCAAAGTTTCTGAATCTAATCCCATTACCACCTCATGCCCCGACTGATCTTGTGATCAAGGAATTTCACAAAAAGTGCATTCTGCAGTATGGGCCCCCGAAAACTCTTGTGAGTGACCGGGACACAGATTGGAAGGACTTCACCTCCCAGACCTATGACATGAAACTCAAGATGATGTCTGACCGACATCCCGAAGCCAATGGACCGACCGAGGAGATCAACCAGACTGTGATCCAACTTCTCCGAGCTTTAATTGTGCCTGATGAGAACTCTTGGGATGAGGAATTGCCAATTGTGCAAGGATTGTACAACAACTTCATACACTCTTCCACCGGGATGACACCTAACTGGGTGCACCTTGGGTGGAAGATTCGCAATCCCTTATCTTATCTGTTTCCTGAACAACCACCTGGGCTGACACCTGGCCAGCCAGGCTACAATGCTAAGTTTGATCGTTTGCTCAAAGTTGTTATCGCAACTATGCAGAGGCGACGCAGTGCTATGATTAAGCATGCAAACAAAAAGTGTCATCCTAACCCTTTCACATTGGGACGTTATGTCTGGGTCAAGATGTCTGAATTTTCTGAAGAGGAAGGCGTATCACGAAAGCTTCTTCCTCAGTCCTATGGTCCGTGGAAGGTGTTGAACCGGGTAGGAAACGATTCCTTTGGTCCTTCTTACACAATCGATGTGCCCCCTCACCTACGTACGTACCCAGTCTTTCATGCGTCCAAGCTGTTTCCGTATAAATCACCCGTACCGAGATTCAATGATTCCTCGCACAATCCAAGGCGCTCACGAGGTTGATAGAATTGTCGAGCACAGTGGGAAGGGAAGAAACAKGCAGTACAAAGTTCATCTCTTGTACCACCCGTTGAATGRCTTCTACTGGATCGCTAAGAAAGACTTGTTGCAKARTGCCCCGCGAGTAGTCAACTCATATGAACGATTGATTAGTTTTGAACAACAACCTAAATTCACTGCTACCCTCGCTCCTACGGAACATAYCCGATCTCTCTTTGCTATTTACGCTYATGATGCATTATGCAAGGACTCTGATTGAGTTACTCGCTCAAAGGGACCTCCCTCTTGAGGGGGGGGTAGTGTAATGACCAGCCATGAAAAAGACTAAGAACACTGCTGATTTCTGAAGTTTTGCCGATGGAATGGATGCCTTGCTGAGATTCCTGCATTCTGTTGTGTTTTCTAAGTCTGTATGTGTGTGTGTGCCTGTGGACTTGCATGCCTGTCCGAGTGCTTGTCGGCAGGAGTGTGTGTGTGACCCGCAAGGGTACTTGCTTGGTGGGCAGGCCCGTAGAGCCGGTACTTACCTGTGGCCGTGGCATTGAGGGTTGCAGCAGGGAAAACACTCAAGTAGCGGAGCCAGGGGCCCGTGGTGCTTAGAGCCGCGAAAAAACACTCAAGTAGCAGGTAGGCCGGTACCGCACCCAGTAGCAGTAGATGTGCCGGGCACTCTAGGCCGAGCAGAAGAAGACAAAGTTGGCATTTTTAGAGGCCCAGTAGCAGTAGGCTAGGTCTAGGCCGGTAACAGTCCATCCAGTCTGAGTCTAGAGCCTGTACGGGCAATATCAGAGTCTGCAATGATGTTTCCCTCCGAAAGGGAGGAGGTACCGGTTGCTTGGGAGGCCGAGCGGCCTGGAAGTCACCGCCCAGGAGGCAAGCAGGCCGCTATATCAAGAGGCCGAGGCAAGAGCTCGGCCTCATTCTTCAGTGTGCAAGTTTGGCGACACGCTGGTGGAGCGCTGGCTGGAGTGGCGCTGGGTAGTACAGCGCTGCTGGGGGGAAGAAGTCGGGAGCTTCCACCTTGGCTACGGTGGAGTTCGACCGGTAGGAGGAGGAGGGAGAAGGGGACCAAGGAGGAGAGTGGTGGGGTACTTACCTGGCTATGGAAGACACCATCTTCATCACCTTGTTAGGCGCTGCATCTGGAAGGCCCCWGTGRGGGTAGTGCCGCATCAAGGAAGCTCGGGGTAGAGTCAGGCATGGCGGTTGAGTGGGGCAGTGGCATAGCTGCATGGTGTTGACCTTGGGACAGAAGGGCAGCGGCATAGCTGCTTTGGGTTGTCCTTTGGACAGGAGGGAGAACCCTCAGTACTCCGCCATAGCCTCGGCCTGTATGTAGAGGAAGAGGAAGGGTGGCCATGGCTATGGTGGACCTCATGTTGTGCGTGCAGTAGAAGTGGGATTCGAACATTGATTCTGGTTTAGTCATTCAACATTATTATTGGTATTTCTTGTTTGAATAAAAGGGGAGGAGGTAAGGAGGAAGAGATTGGTTGGCGAAGAAGAAGAGCCTTGTCATTGGTCTATGCTGGAGTACATCTTCTTCTTCTTTCTTACTTCTTCTTCTTCTTTCCCTCTCTCTCCTCTCAAGTTCATTCATTTCTTTTTGCAATTGGATGGCATTGTACTTTCAGATGAATGTATACTTCAAAATTGGCCAGGATCGTAACAAAGTTTTGTCATACATCTACTGCTACTTAAGTGGTAAAACTCGTAAATCTACTGCTAGCGGTAAAACTCATAAATCAGCTGTGTTCTCAATCCGTGTTTTGGCAGGTCCTTACAATAGGATAGAGATCACGCCTTGTAGAAAGACACCTAAGAGTTCCATCTATAAGATGTTTCCTACTGAGTTAGAGTTGCACAAGCAGCTTGACAAGTTGGTAGACAAGGGGTGAATTACGCGACGCTCATCCCGGTACAGTACGACAATCATTCCCCATCAACCATAGTCAGAAAGAGACTCCATCAATGGATAAAACTGATCCAGAGAACAAAATGCTAGATGCTTTCCAATGCATAAAGTGAGGTTTTGGGTTTATGGCCTATTCCCAGAACGATCTCCTTTGAGTTAGCAGCAGAGCCAGATAAACCTCTCTCACTAAAAGAGCTCCAAGAGGAGCTAGAAAGGATGCGCAATGACAAGGTTCCACATATTGATGGAATGGCAAAGATTTTGGGGACCGCTTCTGGCCGACCCTCGGCAAATACCTCCTTAACTTTTTCAATGATTATCTGTCCATAGGACGACTAGGAAACTCTCTTAAATAATGAGCACATTTCAATACTGCATAAGAAGGGGGATAAAGAAGGTCTGAAACACTACAGACCAGTTTCCCTCCTAATGGTTCCCTATAAAATCCTAGCAAAGGCTCCAGTGAATAGAATTATCAATTTGACTGATGTTTCCACATAGACCAGGCAGGCTTTATCCCAGGCAGGTACATCTTAGATATGTCATGTCGCTTAATGAAGCATCCAAAAAGATAGCTGGAAAAATAATGAAAGCAACAATTCTATTCTTCGACTTTGAGAAAGCCTATGACCAAGTTAAGTGGGACTTTTTACATGACTGCATGGAAAGGATGGGAGTTGGTGAGGGTTTTAGGAAGTGGGTTAGGGTCCTCCACAATGATGCTTCGAGTAGGTTACAGATCAACATAATGCTTCCAAAGAATCACCCTATTTATTGGTCGGTAGACTTGGTACAGCAAGGGAACCCGCGAACCCCCCCCGATCTTCCTTTATATAATGGAAGCAATTACGGAAAGGAGGGCCCCTCAATCGATCACCTATAAATCCACTACTCCCTACCCATGATTTTGATATTTGTTGACGACCTGACAGTGCCACTTCAATCGTCGAACTCCTCTTTTCAAGCCCTAGTCAACGCCATGAAAACATTCAGGTCGACAAATGTGGGTCAGCGGATCAAGATGGAAGGCTGGTGGCCAGTAGAGGATAACCCCTCTCCCCCCCCCCAACAAGGTATTATGGCACAAACGTCTTGGTCAACAGGAGGTGGGGGGAGGCAAGGCAGGTGTCAAAGGGGAAGATACAGTTGGGCACAGAGAGGATAGAGGCGTGGACACACCCATGGCTATGCAGAGAGGTGGATCGTGCGCACAGGGCATTGAGAGGGGACAAGGCGAAACTATGAGAGTTGTGGACCTTGAGGACAACAACAACAATGACTTGGGCAGTCGCATTGGTGCATCCCTACAGAGTGGCTGGCAAGGGGCCATCGAGGGAAGGAGAACACTGCCAGAGCTCTGATGGAGTCGAGGAAGAGGAAGACCTCCTCGCAGGTTGTGCCTGATACAACACCTAAAAGAAGATTCGTGAATCTCGTATCAAACATTCGAATCACAATGGCAACAAGATTTCGTTAGCTTCTTCCTGCAGTGGTGATATGTGAGCGGCATCCCTCTCGACGTTGCGAGGAGGCCCGAGTACAAGAACTGGAGGCGGCACCTTCATCTGTGTCCTCCTAGGGGTCACCCCACCGCACCGACACACCATGTTATTTCTGGTGGTGGAATCAGGCAGTGACAGTTGGTGGTGGCAGACATATTGAAGGGCATCCAGAATGACGTCTTGGCGATAAGAACGATCATCCTCACGGATGATCGCAAGTCCATCACTGCCGACCAGATAGTTAACTTCCTTGCTGCAAGACCTAGTGGTGCGTACTTATTCGGGACAGTGATGAGGGATACGGCGGAGCAGACGGCTCAGGTCATTGTCAATCAGTGGATCAATGTGTTTGAGGACTTTGGCATTGAGAGAGTCAACGCCATATGCACAGACGCTGCATCGTCTTACACGGCTGCTGCTACGCTCCCGGCCAAGCGGCTGGAGCCGAAGTACAGCGGCATTACCTGGCTTCCTTGTGTAGTGCATCTCTGCAACTTGATGTTGTCGGACATCAGCAAGGACGGGGTAGATGGTCGCATGAGGGTTCAGGAGGACACGATTATCAGGGCGAGGGCAGTTGTGGGGTTTATTAGATCGCACGGGGCCGCTCTCGCCCTGAACAAACGATTCTTCGCTGCACACCCCTCGAGGGAGGAGTCCGCTTTCGCTAGTCCTCGAGTTAGTGGCTCTCACGGTAGGGAGCTCATTTACACACTCCGGACACAGTCTGCGAGGCATTTTTTTTTATGTTGGAGAGGTGCTTAATCGTCAATAGGCGATGGAGTGGATGATCGGCGACGAGTGGATGAGGGCAGCGTGGAGGCACTCCCTCCTGTTGCAGGCACGGTGGGTGCGCCATCAAACTCGATATCAGCCGTTTTGGGTGCACGTACATGACATCGTGGTGCTCATGAGACCTGTGGTGGAGCTGCTGCGTAGACTGGACCTCGGGGGGGCAGGTCATGTTGTGTATGTTTTCGTGTGCACATACAATGGCCGGGAGGCAGAGCCCAGCTGGCGCCGGCCAGACCCGACAGCTGCAGGCAGGTCTGGCTAGCCCATGTCCTACCTGGCCAGCCAGGCGATGGGAGGATGGCCCTGGGCCGGGTTGGGTGCAACTGTGGTGAAAAAAAACGGGCCAGTTGTGGGTGGCCTTCTGAAAACAAAAAAGAAAATGGTCAGGTGTGGGCGGGCGGGTCTAGACTTGACACCGGTCACCCGCCGAAAAGATATGCAAGTATGCATGTGGGGGTCTACACCCATGCATATATGTCTATAGGGGTACCGCCCCCTATTTTTCATGATTTTTTTTTAAATTTTAAAACAGACCACCGATTTGCTGGAGGCGTGACCTCGATACGCTTTAAATTTTGTCTCATGACTTTTTCCTCCCACTCATCAGTTGTCTTGAGACTAGTCATTCATGTACCTATTTGTTCTGAGTTCCAATGGTTGATTAAGGGTTCTAGATTGCATAGCTCGCAATGTTCAGGCTGAGGATGGGTGGGTAGGGTGTTGAAAACTTGGAAAAGCAATGGTGGGTACGAGCGAGTGTGGGCGGGTACGGACGGGTGAGGGTGGGTGAGGGTAGGGAAAAAAATGCCAGCTGTGGGTGGGTGTGGGTGGGATTGTGCTCAAGGGCCTGGGTAGGAGCAGGTGGTGAAAAATGTGTCTGGGTCTGGGCGGGTCCCGCTGCAATTCTTCTTCAAGGTCTTGGCTCGGGCGGGCCTGGGTTTGTACGCTCAAATTGGGGCCAGCTGCGGCTGGGCCAGGTTGTGTCAACCACAGTTATGGCTGGCTGCAGTTACCAAATATTATGGATGTTCACTATGGGTCGGGTGTAGCTGTAGAAGAAGTAGGAGCCTGCAAGCTCTGTCGAGAGGGTGGCACATGCAGAGGTACGTCGCACGAATGAGTCTGAGGTGGAGCAGATTGTGCGAGGCATGGAGGCATGTGCGTCTCATATGCTGAAGCCAGCGCACTGCATGGCTCACATCCTTAATCCCCGTTTCAGGAGAGTGGCGTTCTTCGAAACGACTACGCGGGATGATCAGGAGAGGAGACTAGCTGGTCAGTTTATCAAATTCCTCCAATCTCACGGGGGCGGGGATGAGAAGTTGTATAAAACATTGTGGCAACAACTCTCCGAGTTCCATAGCCGAGACGACAAGTGGCAGTATGAGGGGGCACAGGGTGACAAGGACGCGGCTGCTCGCAAAGGGCTGAGCGAGACACCCTTGGCTGGTCAATGGTGGGTGGAGCACGGGGATGGCGTGCCTTTGGTGCAGGACATTGCCATTTGCTTGATGCACACTCGGACGTGCGTCTCTCCTTTGGAGAGGAACTACACCATCCATAAGCGCATTCAGGTAAAGCGGCGAAACAGGCTTGGTTTTTCCAAGCTCACTTGGTTGGTGGAGATACCCACCAAGCTAAGACTGCTAGGCTGCCAGCAGAGGGGTGCGGGGTACGTCCTCCCATGGGACGATGAGGAGGAGGGGCTGGAGGATTGTCGACCTGAGCTCCGTGACGAGGGCATCCACCCTCAAGAGCATGTTAGTGAGACAGACCTCGACCGTCAAGTGCAGAAGGCACAGAGAGATTCAGCGTCTGGCAGGCCTCCGAGTATGGAGCTATATTTCGGCCGTCGCACATACACACTGTTGCCATGCGACCCGGAGTTAGTGTACCACCCTGAGGTCGATCCCATGATGCAAGACGAGATAGAAGCCGAGCCCAACCAGATCCCAATGACCTTGCCGCGATGTATTAGCATCCATCCAAGGATGCTGATGTTCCTCTGGTGAGTTTGCGCAAGCGGACGAGAGGTCTTCTACGACTATTCCATCGAGCCCCCCACTTGCTCCTACCTTGACACGTGGCGGTAGGTCCACTCCAGTGGCACAGCAGAGCCGTCTAGGAGGACTGGGGCAGTTAGCCAGCGCTCGTCGTGGACCCAACTCACAGCATATAGACGATGACGATAACGACGACGAGGGATACAACTGCAACAGCGACGACCACAATGATCCCTATTGCGCTCCCGGCGGTGAAGATGATCGAGGGGACGGCGATGACACGGTTGATGGTCCTCCTGCACAGTCGCAGGCACGGCGTCAGTCGGCGCGATTGTTGCATTTGAGGGGTGCACAGGGGAGGTCTTCCAGTCCACAGAGAGAGACACGGAGGGATGCACAGTCGAGGCCAGCCCCTGCACATACGACGCGTTGGGTTGAGGTAGGGGCTGAGATGGGCACACAGTTGGGACCGGACACTGGGCGCATGATGGGTGACGGTAGGGTTGAGGATATGACGGGTGCCCAGCTGGTGTTGGACCCTGCACAGATCTTACCCGTGTAGGGGAGAGATGGTATGCCAGATGACATTTTGGGTATGTCTTTAGGTCATCCTAGGACTTCGAGTGAAGGAGGTGTTCATGGTGATGAGACTAAGGAGACACTTGTTAGTCATGTTGCTCGAGGGTGGGGACACGGACACAAATATCCTGAGGGAGGCGGCAAAGGGAATTGTTCAGGGTGGGCAGCTTCGAATTGGGGATGAGAGCGAGTATAGACCTCACAGCAGATGATACAGTAGACAAAGGAGAAGAGGCAAGACCGTCTGGATATGGCGGCCACGCAGCGCATTGCTCAGGCTTGCCCTACTACGCAGGGGCTTGCAGTGGAGCAGATGGCGGTGAGGCAGAGGGAGCTGGGTGTTTCAGGTTGTTGAGTGTGGTGCAGGAGATGGCACGGATCTTGGCTCTGGGAGGATGACCATCCGGAGGACCAGGTCGCGGGTGGCGGTGGTGGCCCAGGTGCTGTGGCCCGTCAACTTGACAACGAGGACGAGCATGATGGAGGTGGTGGATGAGCAATGGGAGGATTGTGCGCTTTTAGTGGCACCGACAGGAGGTGTCGATGGTGTCGCTGCAGCCGTGGACAGGTCACATGGAATGGGAGGTGTTGATGGCATGAGGGAAGGGGCCGGGGGAGAAGCAAGCGCATCATGCACTGTGATGGAGGCAATTTCAGTACCACATGCCAACAACTTTGACAAGGGCACAAGCGGCGGTGCAGCTGGAGATATGGTTGTCCATTCACATGATGTCACCGTGATTGAAGCGCCTACGTTGCCTGTTGAGGGCATTTGTATTTTTCGGTTTCAGGGAGCGGCCCTGGTGACAAAGCTGGAGCATAGCGTAGGCAGGGATCCTCTAGGTGCAGATCGTCGGGGGCGCAGCACAAAGGATGGCAAGATCAGTGCACAGGGCCCCTCCTTTGTACCATGTAGCCCGTCATTGTCATCTGATATGTCAGGGCTTACCCCACGTTCCTGGGCTCCTGTCGGAGACCGGGAGCATTGGAAAGCCCATACGCGGAAAATTCCACTTCTTATACTGGTCTGCACAAGTCAAAGCAATGCACATCGGTCGTAGGTGGTGAACAAGGACGAGAGTGGGGTGTCAAGTCTCCTTCTCCGCAGTCGTCGAAGAAAGGAGCAGATGCTCGGTACAGTACTGTAAGGAAGGCCAGTCGCACGTTCAGGGATGCCCAGACGGGGTTCGCGGGTTTGCAGACGGCCGTGGCAGAGGGATGAGGAGGGGACACTGTGGCAAGTGCGGCAGGATAGGCCCGTGCACCACATGAGGGCAAGACTGGGGGACCTGGACAGTCTGCACAGCGCTGAAGTGAGAGCAATCAACTGGGCCATTTGAGAGAGCGTGTAGGAGACACTGCTGTGCCGCAAGTGTCCACACTCGGCGTTGGCGACGATGATATGCCCAGCAAGCAGGCACTTGGGACAAGCTTGGGTGACGTGAGCGACATGGACGATGCACAGCAGCCACAGTATGCACTGGACAGGTGGATGGCGGGCCATATCTTGTAGGAGGACTGAAGGCCAACGACCAGACAGAGTGGTTTTGGGGCAGACATCATCAAGGAGTCGCAGATGTATGACTTGGCGATGTCCCCCGACAAACGGCGAATCTCATACGTGCATGAGATTGAGGCCAGAGACAGGGAGAGGCAGCAGGCCGCCGCCGCCGCCCGAGCGAGCGACAGAGAGAGAGAGAGAGAGAGAGAGAGAGAGAGAGAGAGAGAGAGAGAGAGAGAGAGAGAGAGAGAGAGAGAGAGA